GCGCTTTCGAGAAAAAGATTTTAGGTGTTACACTAACACAGGTGGATACTTACAAACGCTTTTCTTTGCAGATTATTTCCGTCGGGACTTAGAAATAGCCGGACTCAATCAGGCGCTGGATGATCTCACGACTCACGAAAATTTAAACGTTAAGAAAAGAGCTTTGATTATTCTGACAAGGATTAAGGCTCAGAAGATTGCAGCAGAGCAGGAATAAGCCATTGGATTAGAGACTCGTCGATGAAGTTTTCTTCATTTTTCATGGTGGCATGTCGTTATGGAAAGTGGTAGACCACTCTAGTAGTCAGCGTCTTCGTTGCCCATGACCAGCGGTCTGGAAACACTTGTTTCTTCAACTCAGCATGCGCAATACGGGACGAAGATTCGAGGTACACGGTAAATGAGAGACGCTTCACATCGAGAATAACTACCCACGACGTGCTAGTTTTCTTCACGTATCATGGTGCCTAATTCTTATGGGAACGAGAGGGAAACTTTGCTGGGGTGTCGTGCAGTTCTTCAAGGGATTTGTCATAAAACAATAGAGAACCTTTAAAATGAAACTAACCGTAGTTTTGAAAAGCAATGGAACTGCATACCACCAGGGACCTGTAACAGATATTACATTGCGTGGTATTGAATCCACCTCCACATATGCGACACGTCATATCAGCTGAAAGGCACCCTCGTTCTCAGGTTTTCTTTCGTTATCTTACGTTATCCTACGTCACGCGAGGATCGAGTGACGTTGGAGGACGCTCAGCTGGAAACGAGGCTGAGCAAAAAGCTTATTTGTAGGATATCCCGGTGTTTATTCAAAAGCGCGATAATATATTATGAAGTACTAACAGGTATTATATAGAGTACCCCGTGTAGCTGGAAAATGTTTTTTCGAAATTTCAATTATGCCTATTTTCTTTAGATAAGAGAAAGAACGAGACGTACCATAACTAGTTTTCAATAGCAAGTCCAAGGTGCGAAAGTCAAACTAGAGAAATTTGCCTCAATGTTTTAGGTATTTAATTAAATATATCTGTTTATAAAAATAACTGTTAGGGTTAAAACAGGAATTTTAATTTTTAAAGAACAAAAAAGAGTTTGGTCATATTTCACAGAGTTCCTTGTAAGTAAGGATACGAGATAATTATAAAAGCTAGCCCAACCCTGTAGTATCTGAAAAAAACGTTAACCTGTAAAACGTCTCGGATAAGGTTGTATTATTTTAACGTCTCAATTAAACGTCAGTAAAATTTCAAATTGAAGATATTTGAAAAGTTCATTTTGTCTTTTTGTTGTTTTGGTGTGAATGTACAAATAACATAGTCAAATATTATCGTGCTCTTTTACAGGAGTGTAAAAAAATAATTATATTGAAAAAATGAATTAGCGATGGTAAAAGTCAGAAAGAGTCGCAATCCTAGCTGTATGAAAGTTAAGCTTTTTTCCTTTATTTGAAACGTACGTAAACTGATATAAGCTGAAGAAAGATTAATAATCTTAGTGTACGTGTCATTATTGCACAGTATATGTGACTTGCTACTTGAGTTATGAAATATTAACCGGTATCCACCACAAGAGGTCCCTAAATACCTCTATCGCATGGTTCTTGATGTTTTCCTTCTCTAATCGCAATCATGGCTGAAACGTTTCTTACTAATTGGTTGCTTTATACGCTAAGTTATTGCAATGAATATCACTGCCTCACACAATCCTCACCCGTCAATAGGAGCTTACACTGTGAATATTAAATCGAGTCGCATAGTTGAGATTGTCTTAATTTGGAAATTTGTATTCGAATTTGATGTGTTGATTATTTGGAACAGTTACAGCACAGGGTACTATAGATCTTTAGTTTCTTTTATCTTCTTTCTTTTTAGTTAGAAAGTCCTCGACGGATTTTGAAACTTGAGACGAATTAAAGTAAAGCGGCGATGAATAAATTATCCACCTGTTATATCTAATAGATATGTTGCTTTCTACCTTTCTTTTAAGTAGTTGTCGATTGGAGACTTGCTGGCTTATGAAAACTCGGTGACGTCGTATGCAATTTTAGGTGCATCCACTGTGCTACAAAGTGGCTTCTAGCGGTTTTTGAGCTGTTGGGTTTTATCTTTCAACTGAAAATCGGTAGGCGGTTGGTTAAACAATTTGTGTACAGTATTAAGACGTGCGCTTGAATCGCAGCAGTTAAGAATGATTTGCAGGAAAGAAGGAACCATAACAAAAGCTCTCTGCCTCTGTGTGTTATAAAAACTCAAGTCCGATCTCTGCGGATAGAACCAGAAAGTCATGGCACGTTCTTCGAGTAAAACGAGGAATTGGAACTTCTATTCAACACATTACAGCCCGGCAAACGCCTCAGACACTTCCAACCAGACTGTTAATTCCGATCAAGAAGATATTGGCCGGTCCAGAAGGTCGAGCTCAGAAAATTTACCCTACGGGCGACAAAGATCTGTATTTCCTTACGGGATTGTGAGTGAATATGACCTTAAGGACACCATTGGCGCTGAAACTAACGATAACATTTTTTCCGAAAAGCCAGATTCCAGAACCGGAAAGTGGAGGAATTCTCCTTGTTTGGATTCTTCAAGTAATTCGAGATGGGGAACGAGGATTTTGCAGACACCATGTCGTGGTTCTAAGAGCGCAGATGGCGAACCAAGTTGGGAAATAAAACCTCGGAGTCGACTCTTTCGTGAACGATTACACAGTTGTCCAAGTACTCCGATGAACGATTTTCTTCGCGTTGAAATTCCTATGTTGTCATCAATTATGGTCCAAGCTCAATCGCTGCCACTTGTCAGTCGGCCTACACAGTCACACATACCTTCGAGGCCGAAGCCCTCGTCTGCGCCGAAAGAAAGTACACGTCGACTGCGGGCGGAAAGCGTCGGCCTTGTAATCGAAAGACCAAAGAAAACAGCTATTGAAAGCCAAATGCAGGGCAAGGAAAGAGAGATTTCTAAGGGCGTATCAGAAATAAAAATTGAGGACGGCGTTATTATAATCGATAACGGAAAAGTTATAGATCTGAAAGAGGATAAACGTAGCAAAAAGCACAAGATGAAAACTTCCGAAGCTGCTGTAAAAAGCAGAAGCTATCGAGATTTTCAAGAGGCGATGCAGAAATTTGAAGATGCTCAATTAAACTTAGAGGGAGAAGTGAAGTCTAAAGCTAAAACGTTTAAAACGAAAGATAAAGAACAAGATTTTTTCAACGAACATGTTCAAACACAGTTTTTAGACTTGCTCTCGTCCGTAAAAGATAAACGAAAGAAGAGCAAAGGGAAAAAGTATCGATGCTGACCGAGTCGTAAAAATCTTAATTGTTTTGGGTCGTTATATTCCCGTACTTTTCAAGATCCAAATCAGAATAATTAACTAAGTCCATTGAATAAAAGCTTTGTTCTTTATCCTGCATCATCGATTACGGCGAAAAAATATTGTGTTTAACCGTTAAAGTGTTTGCATGAAATCATAATCTGAAAGTGGCCAGGACTTGGCCATTGTCTTTCGTTTTTCTTTTTATGTTTGTCCCCAAAATAATATTTCTGTATTCTCCGCAGCATTCTCGGATATAAGTAGTGTAAAAATTTCACACACAAAAAATGAACTTCAAACGAAATATTTTATGCAAGTGTGCAGTATTTTTAAAATAAGTGGTTTACCATAATTGGTTCATATATTCCCTCATATCAGAATTTTCGTTAAACTCAGATTTCCAAAGAATTTCGATATTTTATTGAAAACAATTATTCAAGTTGTTCTTGATTTGGGTGACCTTGTTCAAGTTTGTTATATAAATTATTGGCTATATTTAACTCGCTTAACAGCAAGGAGCTTATATTCGTAACAAAAGAATTGGAGTATCAACCACAGCGAGTGTATAAATGTAGTGTTCCCAGGGGGTACTCCGGATTTCAAGTGACGGGCCGGATTATCGAAGAATATTTTGAGGTTTGAAATTTTTGATTCGGGGATTTGTTTGGGCCAGAAAACTTGGCAAGTATTTTTTCGGGTGGCTTGATTTAAGTAGGGATTTTTGGGTATTCAAAGCAATCTGACGATTTTTGGTAGTGCCCACTTATCCTGAATGCTTAGTTCTGCAAATAAAGTACATGTTATATAATTTAATGCTTTCTGGAAATTTTTAATGCTCGAAAATTCTAGGGTTTTTTTTAGGGGGTTTTGTTGGAAGCCCTAGAGATTTTTTTGGGTTTTGATTTTTGCCTCCATTCGATCATCCCCGTCACTTGAAATCCGGAGTTCCCCCCCCCCCCCGGGACAGTGTTAAGCTATAAATTATTAAGTTTGGACAGTCTGGTTTGGCAGGAGCCCATGGTTTGGAGTTGTTTAAGAATTATTACAGCTTAGCTGCTTTACATACTTCGTTTCATTCAATAATTGTTGGCATTGTAGAGCGAGTAAAAACCTTACTCCGTTCCTTTAGAGCAGTATTGATCTGTAAATTAATCCACTTCTATTTTCACAAGAATTAACAACAACAACAAGTTTATTCAGTATTACCATTTTGTACAGGTGTTACCGATTAATATTTTAAATATAAAAAGAAGGTTTAAAAAGGGAGATTTGATTAATGCCTTTATGTTTATCCAAACAATTAATCTAGAAAACTGCTAAAACGTTAACCGTTTATACCAGAAAAAATTTAAAATAAGTCGCGGCGTCCTTGACAACTGGGATCTTCCCAAAAGAAGGGGGACTGAAGAGCAATCATGGCGGGCGGCAATATTGGCCTTTTTTGCGGGGGGATACAGGAAAATGAAAATGCTATTTTTGGAGGTGACGTAATGCATTAAAGATTATTTTCGGGAAGGAAATACTAAAAAAATGAAGCACCCTTTTCGATATTGCCCTAGGATCATTGCGTTCTATAAGGAATGAGTTAATAAAGATTTACCGCCGGAGAACTGGGTATGAGATCAAAGTAAAACAGTCCCACTCCCACTCGGTAGAAATCACCGGCGAGAGAGAGACGCCTTGTCAATGTTATGTTTTACGACGTTTTACATGATTTTCAGTGGAAATTCCTAATCCACATGACTAAAGAACGGGTTGTAATCGTTCCCGGAAATGGTAGGGGCGATGTTGAACATAGCAACTGGTATGGATGGCTTAAAAACAAACTTTTGGAGGTAAGCTTGCCTGAAGAATTTGGATTACAAACTTATGTTTTTATTCGTTAATAAACTACTAGAAGCTAAAGGACTAACTGTTGCTCTTTTGTTCCTAGAAAAACATTGACTGTCTGCTGAGGAATATGCCTGATCCAGGTAATTGGTCAGTGAAATAAACAGAGAAGGGGAATTCCCCACGCAGACCAACTCTTCCCCATTATTAAAAAGGGTATAGGGTATTATATTAGTGTGCGCAACATGCAGCCGCAGAAAATGAGGGCCTCGGCACTTAAGGCCCATTGAAATCAATTTCCAATCTTCCTAGATGCACTACTAAGGTTACAAATGGCATTTTTTTAAATTCTGAGTAATTATGCGCCAGTAAAGCTTGACACTTTACGGTCCAGGAAATTCCAATAGACCTTATAAGCTTTTTTTACCCCAATTCAGACCATATGATGTTCTCCACGGAATTTGCCTTTTGTCTTTTCATAAATTATACATACATATGCACATGCTTAAGATGACATCTGAAAGAAACAGTTCTCTAGGTGTATCATCATGTGGTCTGAAATGAGAAAACAAAACATACAAGCTTAAAAGGTCTGTTGTGCACATCTTTGTTCCTTTGGCTTTTATCAGGGTGCCACTCCCTGCGCTGGGGCCTTTGTCATCAAAGGTCTGCCCAGAGGTGAGGCATTTGTTTTTTATATATATATTTTCACTGTTCTCTTAAAAAGAAAAATATATGATACACATAGTATAAACAGTACATATATATTACAGGTTAAATTTGATTTCGGGTTTAAACTTTTTAACCTAGGTTAATTGTCAATGAGGCCTAGGAGACAAAGGAAGTTAGAATCAATCTAGGTAAAATCAAAATTAACCTGAAATCAAAATTAACCTGTAATATGTATAGGTAATAGCATGATTTGTAGTGATATTTGGCATAAATACCACGAGTGATATTTCGAAATTAGTATACGTAATTTCACGAGCCGTTAGGCGAGTGAAATTTGAAACAATTTTCAAATATCACTAGTGCTATTTATGCCAAATATCACGTACAAATCATGCTATTATTTGTTTATACTACTACCTTCAGAAGGTTTGTAATTTTCACATGTAGGTATTTGAAATTAAGCTGAAATACCACTGCTCTAAGCCAATCAAATTGCAGAAATTTCTCATGTAGTAGTATAAATACATTAATATGGTATGGGGAAAGGGGGTTGTGCCCTAAGGGGGTACTTTGGATTTCAAGTGACAGGGATGATCAAATGGGGGCAAAAATCAAAACCCCAAAAAAGCCTTAGGGCTTCCAACAAAACCGCCAAAAATCCCTGGACCAAAAAGTAACCCCAAAAAATATCATGCCGAATTTCCAAGCCTTAAAAATTTCCAGAATGTATTAAATGATATATCACGAAAAATAAAAACATTAGACATTGAATGTTTCTTCGTATTGTTTTGAATACCTAAAAAATCCCAACTTAAATCAAGCCACCCCAAAAAATACTTGCCAAATTTTCTTACCTAAAAAAATTCCTGGAATCAAAAATTTCACACCCAAAAGATCCTTTGATCATCCCCGTCACTTGAAATCTGGACTACCCGTCCCCCTCTGCCCAAACCCGAACCACCAACCGTCCCCCCCCCCTTGCTGGAGGTTGTGCATGCTTAGAATTGACAGAACCATTATCATAAAACAGTGTTGGCTCGTGAAGAAATATGGATTCCATTCATGGAAAAACAGCTTAATTGTGATGAGCACACAGTGATTGTTGGGCATAGCTCTGGAGCTCAAGCTGCACTGAGGTAAAACATAAGTTGTGTAGGGAGCAAATGCAAGTCCCTCAAAAATATTCCTTGACACAGTGATGGTTATTGTTCTGATCATTAGGAAGCTACAACTTTTGCTGTGCATGGTTAAAAGTTAGTCGTTGTAAATTTTCCAGGTATGCAGAGAAGCATTCTGTCCTTGGATTGATCCTGGTGTCGCCTTGTGTCACTGATTTGGATGATCCTAATGAGAAAGCTAGTGGTGAGAAAATATCGTAGAAACTCTATTGTCTTCATTAACCCTTTAAGTCCCAATAGTGACTAAGATCAATTTTCTCCTAACAATATCCATACATTGTCAACAGATAAGTTATGAGAATTATTAAAATGATCACTCAAGTAAAAATGCCATGATCTTTTATCAAATTCTCTCGACTCATTCTTAAAGGAAATGTATGGAGATCAGTTTGGAGAATTTGTATGTGGATACTGGGGCTTAACGGGTTAAGCTGTAGATCTTGTCGGGGTATAATGATACTCTTCAGGCTGTTGGAGTGAATTCAAGGAACATGGCTTTGAAGCAGCCACAGGGCAGAATGTAAAATTGTGGCAAATGTCATGAAGTCAGATTGAAACTGTGTCAGTGAAATTATAGACACAAAAACAATATTGAAATACATACAGGAAAGCAGGGTGCAAAGAAAGGGAGTTTTAGAGCTTCCTATTCACACAAGCTGTAGCTAGCATGTACTATAAGCCATTGGGCACTACTTTTTTGCATGCTTGAACATGGCATCCTCTTTATCATGACAATTAAAGAAGTTTGACGTGAAAACCCCCCTTAAATGAATTCCTATAATGACACAAAGTTCATATCCTGAAGACATTACAATGTTGCCCAGTCAAAATTTATTAATGACTTTTGTCTTTTTTGTCACAAATTTTCAGGGTATTATAATCGTCCCTGGGAATGGGAACAAATAAAACAAAACACTCAATGGATTGTCCAGTTTGGATCAACAGATGATCCATTTATTCCCTTCAGTGAACAGGAACAAGTTGCTAAAGGAACAGCTTCGGAGTTCCACAAGTTTTCTGACAAAGGACACTTTCAGTCTTTGGCATTTTCTGACCTGATGAATATATTAATAAGCAAGTTAAAGCAAGAGTGTAGTGAATGACAATCAGCATATTCTTGGAGCTTTTAAAATACATTTTCCAGTGATATATAGAGTCAAAAGACTGGTAAATGGAAACTAAGTAGCTCTTCTGCAAGCTTCCCTAAAACTGGGACAAAGTTTGGGAGAAACGACTTAATATACGATGAAATCTTTCAGTATAAATAACCTCTGATAAAACTATTGATTGGATGCTCAGAACTGCATTTCAGTCAATGTGACCTGCAACCAGCACTTGGCTCACACTCTTCTTACAGGCTGATCAAGTTCGCTGGAATAATACTAAACCAAGACCAAGAAAACTGGGCTGTGCATGAACTTTTAATCAAGTTTGTTTCTTCCCATGATTTGAATTAGTTAAAAGTGGGTTCACAGCATGTTCTGTGACATTTGGTTACACAATAATATTACTTTGAATATGCTTTTGTATTATTGAATTAAATTTAATGAAATTGTACATTTAAGTTTGTCCAGTAAGTATTGAGCTCTGTTTACGTTGTGTGTGTAAAGTCTATTCTCAGGGTTCAACAGATTTTCTTTTGTCTCCTGGGAAATTCTGAATAAAACTGGTTGAATGAAGGTTCAACCTCAGAACAGATTTTACCTTATAAAAAAAACATACACTTTCATTTGCATCATAAATGGAATTAGATTAAAAGTGTCTTCAGGTAAGGTATTAGACACTTTAATTTGTGACACAAACAGCATCAATCTGATGTCTTCCTCTAAATAATGAAAGACCAAACAGACATTCTTGTGCTAAAACAGACTCAAGAACTTGTTCTTGCATGGCCTTGACATGTTCTGCAAACTGTGATGCTGTCATCTGTAGCAACTGTTCTGCTGTTTGATCTGTCAAATGTGCTGTCATGCTGCTGTCTGAGTCGTGCAATTCAAGGCTCATGT